TTTCGGTAAATTGTTTATAAATCGTAAATATAATATTTGTTTATGTTTATTTATTAAGTTATTTTAACAAATACAAATAAATGTTCATTTAATAAACATATGAACATGAAAAAATGTGTATTCCGTTTATCTATATTCACTTATCAATTTATTTACTAATTTCTCATTTTTTTTATTTTTTTTATTTTAAATATTAATAAAAGAATGAACTGATTTGAACCTTAAATGTATATGTTTATAAATGAATATAAATCTCTTTAAAAAAAATAAATACACAAATAAGAATATATTATTAAAAATTTAAATGAGTATGAATATAACATCAACACATTTATAAATAACAAACAAATATTAGCTTAAACTCGATTCATTTACACTCTATTTTCTTGAGAAAATCCGAACATCCACCAAATAAACAAAGATAAATTTGGGTTCTTCTTACTCTTGTTTGTGCGTGTTTGAACGATAACTAAAAGGCAGACATCTTGTTTGCAACTCCAATACTCTTGTTTTGTTTCTGGAAAACCAACTTTTGTTTTTCAATTCTACAACACTGAAACAGTCATCCAACATCCTTACTTTTTTTCAGGTTGTATTTCCCCCCTTAAATCTATCTTCTTTTCTTTGAGACATTGACCCTCTTTGTCTTACCTCCACTCCAACTCCTTTTGACTAAGTTTGGAAATAATAAACAATTATTTATATATATGGTTGTCTCTCCTCGTGCCATATTTGCTTCAGTTTACTTCTTCCTTTCATAGACTTGAAATTGGAAGCTTTAAAGTTTCATTTTGTCTGCAAAGAAAGTATGTGTTTTTCTTCTCTTTTCTTCTTTGATGTTAATTATTCGATTTCCTGTTAAATTCATGTTTTTGTATTTGTTGCAGGCCATTCTTGATGATTGGGGTTGGATTTTCTGGCATGACTGATGAATCAAGACCCGACAAACCAGCAAACTTCAGCAAATCCCCCCACTTTTACTTGTTTCCTTTTCATTTTGGACTAATTCTTTTTGTTTATTTTTTTTTTCAGTCTTTGATTGGTAAAATCTTGAGTGTGAAGGGAAGAAATCAAAGTAATAAAGAGATTGAAGTTAGATTTGATTCCTCAGGTGAGTGCTTATAGTATCAAATAAATGAAATTTACCAATTATCCTAATTGTTCTTATCATATCTCGTCTGCAATAATATTTTATTCAAAAATGCTCTTCTTCTTAAGATAAATTCAATTCCATATATTATTATTATTATGTCAAAGATACTACTCTATTCTCTCTTCTTTTTGCAATGGAAGCAATTAGCATCGATTTGTTTATTTTTTTGGTACAAAAGAGGTCCGGATTTGAGAAGAGGAGAAAGTGTTTCGGATGTCGGGATTCAAAGCTTATATTTACTGGATGTCACCTTTTAAGAGTTGCTGCATGAACGAACTGAGTTGTGTTCAATGCTCCATTTAGCTTTACTTGTATTACTTGCTTTTTTTTTTTCTCTTTTGCTTTATGGAAGTGAAATGCAGGTGTTATGGATAGATTTGTAACCTTTTTTCGGGTATAAAAGAGGCCGATATTCAGAATAGGAAAACAGGGTTGTAGATATCCCCAATGTTACCTCTTAAAGATGATTACATGAACGAACTGGACTAGGTCTCGGATTCGATATCAGTCCATTATCCTCCAACGTCCCATTTAGTTTTTATTTTTTATTCCTTACTTTTTTTCTTTTTGGTTATGCAAGTAAAAATGGAAAATCCTTTTTAATATTTTTATTTTCGGTATAAAGGGGGCTGCATTTCGGGGACAGTTACGAGTATGGGATTCTAATCCTAGACGTTCTAAGGGTACTACACGAACGAACTAGATTAAGTCCCTGAATTCTGAAGCTGTAATTTTTTTCTACTTTGGGGGACTAGAGGATAAGGTTAATCCAAGTTGATGTGATGGTGAAAACATGTATGCAATTTGTTAAGAGTATATTCTTGTCTGAAACTTTAATCCAAAGAGTAAAAAATGGTAGCTTAGCTTTCACCACCACTTTTCTTTGATGTCTTCATTTTTCCCTACTCCCTTGCCTTTTATATAGTCTTGTTCTTTGTTTGAATCCGGTAGGAAACCGAGTGTTCGATTTCTGGCGACAATGATTCGTCGAAAAAGAAAGTTCTTGTTCTTTTATATGTTATAATTCATAACAAATTCTGAAAATCTTGTGTCTAATCTTCAAATCTTACTGTATTTGTTGATTTTTGTGTGTGTTTTGCAGAAGGACAATATGATTTGCCACTTCAACCTTTGCTTTCGAGAGGCGAAAGTGCGAAAGCTGCTAGTGAGAATCTATACTTCCGGTAGTCATAGATGAGATTCATTTTCTTCTTTTTTTCTTTTCTTTATCACCAGCTTTTTAAGAAACAGGCTTGCTTAGTTGATTAGCCCGACTTATCGTTGTTTTTTTTATTTGTCAGTGTCTTCGTTGCGACATGGAATGTAGGAGGCAAATCTCCTTGTAGCAAACTCAACCTTGACGATATTCTTCAAGTTCGTGAAGAATCAGACATTTATGTGTTAGGGTGATTTTCTCAATCTCTCTTGGTTTTTTTCCTTGCAATTCTCGTATAATTGTTTAGTTTCCGGTTTCAACCTCTCGATCTTAAATTTTCTTCTCATAATCTAAGGTTGGTAGTGCATGAATTTTTATTATATTTCTTGAACTCGGGTGTGAGTGCCGAAAGCAGGTGTACTACAATCCCGTCTGGAATCTGGATATAGACACAAGTTTCCGATACATGTATGAGTCAGACCAACATAGCGTTGTGCTAAAGCATATAAGCCAGTTGAGTCGACAAGAAAAAATCGGTTTTGAAGTCTGTTGTTATAAGATTTTCCAGTAATATTTTGGTTGGATACGCTTTTAGCATGCAAATGAAATTTCTTTATTCTGATTTGTTATTCCGGGTTGTTAGTTTTCAGGAAAATGTTCCATTGAATGCCGGAAATGTGCTAGTTATCGAAGACAACGAGCCTGCAGTGAAATGGCTAGCCTTAATAAACCAGTCACTGAACAAGGTTAACTATGTGCCTTTAAGAGGATCGAAATCCATTGCTTCTCCCGGGGGTTCACTGGTTTTTCCTAGAAAGGCCAGCAAGGCTTTGAGGACTGAGAATAAGCGAAGGATGAAGAGTTGCAACTGCCATATAGACTTGGAAAGGAAATATAGCAAAGAATTCTGTTTCGGGTGTCCGCAATCACAAACGAATGAAAATGATATTTCGTCTGAAGATGACGAAGACGGATCTAGCAGCTTTGCAGTCGGTACAATGCCCACTCCTGGTGCAAACTCCATGAAGTTTAGCCTTGTGGCAAGCAAGCAAATGGTCGGAATTTTTCTCACGGTTTGGATGAGGAAGGAGCTTGTACAAAATGTAAGCCACATGCGGGTTTCCTGTGTAGGTCGTGGAATCCTCGGATGCCTTGGAAACAAAGTAAGTCCAGAACCGACGCAGCTAGAGTTGCATCGCATATATTATATTGAAATGAACATATCTGACTGCAGGGTTGTATTTCGGTGAGCATGCTTTTCCACAGGACTAGCTTTTGTTTCTTATGCAGTCATTTGGCTTCCGGAGAGAAAGAAGGTGATGAACTACGGAGAAATTTAGATGTCATAGAAATACTTCGGAACACACAATTTCCGAGGACCTGCAAAACATCAAACAGTAGGGTGCTGGAAAAAATTCTGGATCATGAGTAAGCATCAAACAGTTTTTGAGATATATTTTCTCGTAGTCAATGACTATGTTCGAAAATTTTGCATTATTTGACATTTTTTCGTCGGAAAATTTCCACAGCCGGGTCATATGGCTAGGGGATTTGAACTACAGGATAGCTTTAAGCTACTCTGATACCGGAAAGCTACTAAAAGAGAAAGCCTGGGATGCATTGTATAACAATGATCAGGTAATCTCTTATACCATAGAAGATGAAACCCGAAAATCATGGAAAATTTTTATATATGGATTCTTTATTTTCTCTCAAGTATTGTACACATATGGCTATGAGGGTATGATCCTCTAAATATATTGAAAAACTTAATAATTGATCACATTCGTGTTAGATGCACACTCGTATTCAATGCTCAATCCGAATCTAAGTAGATATAACTCTGATACATAAAAAACTTTAAAGATTTGAATATACTATGTCAGACAAACAGCCGTGTCTGATACTTTAAGTCGAGTCTGAATAACATAGACTTGTTTAGGTCATTTATGCGTATGCTAAAACGAGATTGGATACACGGCTAAAGATCGAAAGAGAGGCAGGGCGAGTACTCAAGGGATGGAAAGAAGGAAAAATATACTTTGCACCAACTTACAGATACTCCCTTAACTCAGACATTTATGCCGGAGAAACAGTTGAAACTAAAAGAAAAAGGAGAACTCCAGCTTGGTATGTATTTACAATTTATCAGATTAAAAAATCAGACCGGAGTTTGAGCTGGTTAGATATTTTCTTCGTATATTGTATCATATTTTCAGGTGTGACAGAATACTATGGCACGGAAGTGAAATATACCAGCTTTCATATGAAAGGAAGGAATCAAGGTTTTCTGATCACCGTCCGGTTTGTTCTACATTTTTGGTGAGCGTTGAAGCAATGGAGGGTGGATCAAAGAAAAGATGACCTTTATTTAAAACAACAGAAATAAACATAGACGTTGGTAAAGATTTCTGGGAATTATATTTTATGTTCAGAAATTAAAACAAATGTATCATACTTGGAATCAAAATGAAAACAACCCAAGTTCTTGAACTCGATGAAATAAAGTGAATGTTGAATTACATCCAATGTTGACATCATATAGCTCATTTAGTTGATGAAAACTTTAATTAATAGAATTAAATCCTGAAATTCTATAAGTTCTTTATATATATATATATATAATGGGAAAGAAATTTAAACGCAAACAAAATTAAGCAAATGGTAGAAGAGGAAAGGAGATGACAAACGAAAAACACAACAAAATTGCTTGCTTTTATTTATTGATAAATAAAATGAATGTATTTCTCGAAATAGTTGTTAGTTAATAACTTCAACATCAAAACTACATTCTAACAGAGATCCATGAATCCAAAAAGCATGATCAAAAGCATGCTGTTAAATAAGTCCTTTATGCTACTCAGTTGAGTCGACAAGCAAACTTGCTAGCCCTTGAACACAATATCAGCCAGGGTATGATCCCAACCTGCAATTTCGGAGAACAATCACAAAACCAATCAACTTCTTGTGTAACTCGGATAAGTGTTCGATAAAGGCATGTATGTGTCTGACATGGGTATATTTAGTGTTCCTCAGTTTTTCCATGTATTTGATGGTCCTTGCAACAAGCAGTTTCAGTCCAGACAAGAAACAAGCAAGTATGACCCAGGCAAAGTACTTGTACTCATAGCATCACACAACTCAATATGGGTTGAAGTCTTTTAGATGGGCCAATGTTATAAACAATTGGAACGATCAAGAGGAAACCAGAGAGATGAACTTCAAATCCTATTTCTATCATAGAAGGGGGAAGTTTAAATTGTAATTTAGATTACAGTTGTTAAATATTGAAAAGAATTTTTACCTGGACACGGTTGCTGTAGAACCCCAAATCTTCCCGGATAACAGTCTCCCTGCAAAATAAGGTGGTTGTCATTCCATCAGAAAACAACTGTTTTTTCCAGATTTCGTTTCATTAATATTTGTACACCATTTGCTTCATGCCAATGTATTTTTATTCATTTGTCATCCAAGGGACGAACTTTAGTCTAATTTTCGGAGTATTTCATCAAGAAACATATATACCAACTCCAGCATTTTTAAGCAAATTGTAGTTAAAAATCAAAGAAGCTAACAGCCTAAGACAACATTTGCCAAAGTCATTATCATGCATTACCAAAGGGTTGCACAAGATGTTGAGATACAGAAGCAACAGGAGAGCTCCAAAACCATAAGGCTAACACAATATGAATTAAGACCTGCACAAGAAGATGGTAAATTTCTTAGGGTGCCAATCAAGCCAACAAGAATATAAAAATCTAGACAGTTTTGTGACACACAGATAGACCTTTGTGATGAATATGACTTTCAAATACAAATCATATGACTGCTTCACCTCTTGGGTAAGATGTGCTTGATCTGAAAATCCAATGTTGCTTCTATAAGTACATGTCATATGGATAAACAATTTAAGGGTTAAAAGGAAATAACTGGACTACAGTGATTGTTTATGAAATGAAGCTTTCTTTCTTGAAAAAAGAAAAGAAATATAGATGAAAATCAAGAAAGAATATCCAAAAGTTCAATTCATTGAAGCCAAAATTTTCCTTTACTTAAAACACGCATACTGCTTACAATCCAGATGTTACATCAATTTACAATACTAAACCAATGTTGGCTCGGACTCTTCATTATTCTAGAAGTATCCATGTTTGAAATTTATGTCCAACACAGAAATACAGAGACACTAACTCTGATGTCTAAATACATAGAGAAACTTAGAAAAAATTAATCATACATGTGTTGGATACATACTTGTCCAATACTTACACCCAAGTCCCATTAACATAAATCAAATCTCCATATCAATATTTGATTGTTAAAAATATTAAATTCATATAAACTTATGTACTGAAAAAAATATTAAGTGATTAACTGAAGAATAGAAACAAAAGTGGCCTCACAATTTGCAAGCTCCTTCTCCTTGGCAGCAGCCATCCTCCTAAGTTTAGCTGCTTGTGCAAATGTAGATGGCCTATGCAGCAAAATAGATGTTGTTTACTCTTCCATTGTGATTGCTAAGCTGATTAAATGGAATTAAATGCTATTTAAATCACTTACTGCGAATAAGTGGCAGCCTCTTTCAGAAGCTGCTTAATCTCCCCACGAAGTTGCATTTCCTTGTCAGTTTTGGATGCTCCCTAACCATGAAAATATAAAACTAATCAACATTGTGAAAAATCACAGGAGAAGTTAGAATATTCAAATTAAGCCACCATATGTGACATCAAGTAGAATTTGGTACCTTCTTCAAATCTTGGAGTCGTTTGGTGGCAAATTGAAATGCAATGACAACGAAAAAGACAAAAGGAGCCGCCAAAGAACTTATTTGTTCATCTAGGATTTCTCCTTCTCCCATATTTTTCTTAAGCTATTGCATAAAAATTTTGATGGAAAGAAAAATGTATAAAGTAAACAAATCTAGAAAGCAAATTTTCCTTTCATTTTTGCAGCTCGGTTTACATAATTTCTTATTCAAGTTTTGAGCATATAATTGCTCCATTGTAAATCAAGGCAATCTTGATGTAGATGAAATCTTCCTCAGAACACCTATAAAATTTTAGATAAATCATAATTTTCGTCTTTCCTAGATCCTTTACATTATTTAAAAAAAATGTACCCTGAAAGTCAGCTTTAAATCGATGCCATTAATTCCACATGAAAGGATGAATAAATGACGATAATAATAACCACTCGATGATTATTGTTGAACATATTTACTAGGAGATAAAAACACAAAAATTTAAAAGAGGGGAAAACCATCGAAGAACAACAAGGACCACCATAGGATATGGAATTAGGAATGATAACAAAAAGGAAACAAATGAAATTAAACAGAAACCCTAATTTCCCTAATGGTAACATGCTAACATGCATCTAATAAGTCTCATAAATCAATCAGTCATTGACAGAAGAATTCTAACCCTAAACAAGCAAAATTAACCAAAGCTTCACCCATTTAATCTCTTTGTAATCCAACAAAGGAATCCAGTTAAAAAATTAACATTACATAATTACAACTGTTTTTCCCACGGTTCACTCCGAGATAGAGTTAAAACTCAAATGCTAACTGCTAAAAGCCAAAAAAAATATGAAAATAATTCATAAAGAGCATGGATTAGAGGAGAGATTCTTCAAACGGGAATAAGAAACTGATAACTTACGTCGACTGTTAAATAAAACGCAGAGCTTGTAGATATTTTCATTCGTACAATGTAAATGAAAAGAAAGTTAATTAATATAATTTTATATAAAAATTATTATAATCTAAAGATTATATTAAGGTAAATTACACCAAATACGATTGAATTTCAGATTGTATATAGTTTATATTATTCAACTTTTAATTTTTTAATTATAATATTGAATTTTGTATTTAATTTTAATTATGTCAATGGACCGTTAAATTTTATTAGCATGATGATGGGAATAAATCTTTTTATCACTAAAATAATGTGGACAAAATGATGTTATTATGAACACAACTAAATTTGCAAAAAATTCTATTTCTGGTATTATACTTTTCGGCTATCGCCGATAACCAATCATCGTTTTTCATTGATTATCTTTTACGGCAATATCGACAATAAAATGTTTATATTTCACTCATTTTTCTTCTCATATGATTGATTTCTCATAAGACACTCAAAGTCGACGAAATTTCATTTAAAAGTTTCACATGCTGATCTTTTGATCTCTTTTGATGATTGTCCGATGAGGATAGTTTTGAGATATGTTATCGTCTTCTTAAAATAATACTTTTTCTCATTTAGATTTTCAAAAAAATATCTTAAATCCCTCAAATCTAAAAAGGCTCCAATCTCCTAAAATAATAGATTTTTTTATTTAATTTTGTCAATTTTGAGTAACTTTCGTAGCAAACAAATCCTAGAAGAAGAAATATGAGTAAAATATGAATGTTTTGGTTTCCATCTTGTCGCTAAAAAATGATTGATGACATTAATGATTGGTTCTCGACGACATCCTAAAAAATGCACTACCGAAATATATAACTATTTAATATCTTAGTGGCAAAACTGATACACCCTTAAAGTTCATTAACTAAAACAACGTTATTTTAGATACTAATAGCAGCATCAAAAATGATGTTATTTTGTCCATGTTATTATGTTGATTGAATTTTAACATCTCGATGACATAATTAAAGTTAAAACTAAAGTCCAGTGCAATAATTAGAGAAATTATACATGAGTTAAAATTTAGTGGTATTTGATATAATTTATCTTATATTTATTTAGTGATATCTTGGGGATTTAAATAAGTACTTAAAATAAAACATAAAAAATATCATGTCAATTTTTTTTTGGAAATTAATAAAAAAACATAAAAAATAATGTGTATTTTTTTATAAAAATTAAATCAAAAGAATAAAACACATATAAAAATAAATTTTAAATCAAATACATACATAATAAATGCTCAAAATAAAATATAGTTTTGATATATATTTTTACTTTTATTCTATATGTATCATATTATTTTATAATGAGTATTAAAAATTAGAATCACAATAAAAAAATAAAAATAGATTTATTCTAATATAATTACGCATAAAAAATAATTATTTTGAAGTAGCTTTATTATTTTATGGGCATTGTAATATTAAACAAAGGAATTGTCAAATACTAAGGGGTTGTTTGGATCAAGAAAAATATTATTATTAAGGGAATAATTTTTTTTCCGAAATCACATACTCATGTTTAGTTTAAAAACATTCCCTTAATGCGATAATGAAACATTACCTACAATAGCTATTTTGGTTTGGGTTCTCGGGAATCTCATTCTCTCCAATATCTTAGATATTTGTCAATTTCCATCGAATTGAAACAAATTTACCCCTAAACAAATGAATTATTTCAAAACTATCCTATCATTTTTTCTTTAAGTCATATGATAATCCTTGATTTTCTAATTTACTTTCTTCTTCACTCATGAATTTATGTTAAATATTATATAACTTTGGATATTATATGATTTTAAATATTATAAAATAAAAATATTATTATTATGATATAAATTTATTTTATTTATTTTTTTATTGTGGTTTTAAATTTTTTAATACTTATTATAAAAAATGATGCATATGGTAAAAGGTTTTTTATATTATTTTTTATATGTTTTTTTTATTTTATAAAATAATTTGATATGGTGTTTCGTAGTATAATTCATACATATAGTATAAATAAAATAAAATAATGTAGCAATTAACACATACTTACACTAGTATAAGTATCTATATCTCACAATATCTTAAAAATAAATACATAATTATATTGATGTAAGTATGCTTATGTATTTTCAAATAAATAAAAAAATTTAAAATATATATATATTAAGTTATTTGTGTATAATTTTTATTTAAAAATATATATAAATTTGAAATCATAGAAAATTATATTTTCTATGAACTTTCATGTAAATATTTTAACTTTAATAATGAGAATTCAACTTGTTAAAAAATAAAATATATCTCAACGACAATTGAGTAAAACATACATTTTTCTTATCTTATATTTATTCAACCAAACACTACAATCTTATATTTTTTGCCAAACATGTAAAACTCTAATTTGACCTGACACGAAACCCAATGGATTATAGTGTCACACGGAACCACCTAAGTATCTAACCATTTTTTAAGATCATTTAACCAAATCGACATATGCATATAACATAAAACATAATATAATACAATACAGTTACAAAATATAAGTATTCAAAATATAGGGAGCTCCCAACATCAGTCTCCAAATGGTTAAATACAAAATAATAGAGTTTACGACTCAATACACAATAAGGGTCTATGAAGTACATGTCCTCTATAATAACTGGGACGTACTTTGAAAATATGGATGAGTCTAAAATTTAAGTATGGTGATGAGTTCCTCTTTTGGCACCTAAAAGCCTACGCACGAAAACACATTCCATATGCTGAGCTCACAAGCTCAGTGACACATAAATAACCTTATTATACTATATGCATTCAAAATATGACCATGCTATAAGTATGGTTATGAAAATTTGCATACACTCACACAACAACCAAAGTAAGCATCATGATGTGGCTTACGGTCACTTAGCATCACGGAACTCATACCCCTCTTTGCTTACTTAAAATCCTTAGGTGAGACCTGGGTCACAAAGCATCAACGTCTCCTTATACCCAAGCTGAGTTCGGGTCACTTAGCATTGGAGCTCACTCGGTTAGTCTACTCCTCTAGAGTACTTGGGATTTTCCCAACTCACACAACATCGGTGTTCATCCAACTAGCATTTAAAGTGCACCAACACTTATTTGGATATATCTGGATAATCCTCATACTACCTCACTAACGTCATTTGAGTAACTTAGTTGTCATCGTCGTTTCCCTAGCATCAAACAAAGGCATAAGTCTTATGGAATCTTACTTCATTTAGACCTTATGTTATCACATAATTATTAAGATTTCCACTTGTATTCTTATGGAAGAGTATATCCTCTTAATAAACTCCCATCATATTCCCTATATCACCAACTATCCTCACTGCCCAACATTTCATGATGGTACTGATACTCCCCCTTAGGTATCGGTTCTCCCCTTCTAATGGTATCGATACTCCCCCAGGTATCGGTATCAAATTTGCCTTCGATGTTTGAAAATAAATCTCAATATCGATACTCGCCTAGGAGTATCGATACTCACCATCTTTAGTATCGATACCCCTTGAGTATTGATACAAAAATTACATTCGATGTGTTGAAACCCATTTTTACCCGAACATTTCATTAATATTATTATTATTATTATTAATTATTATTATTTTGATTTTTTATTTTTATTTACTTCTTTTGCAGGCCCAAATTACAACAAATACAGTTGGCCCAATTGACCCAATTTTAAAAACCCATGCAACCCAATTACAAGGGACCTAGTGGGTTCAAACCAAAGCTCAACACAAGCCTAAACCCTAGCCCACATCAATTAGGGTTTGTTGAAACCCTAACCTAACATAGTCTTTTATCGCCGCCTCCACTGCCAAGGGGAAGAAGAGATGTGCCACCACCATCAACCGAAGTCACTCCCGTTGCCATTAACTCTATTCACCGCCACCACTGTTTCCATCTAATCAGAACAGTAGAGCTAATCAAAACAAAACAAAAAATAATAATAAAAATCAACCAAAACCAATCAAATCAAAGCCTAAACTTAAAAATATTAGGGTATTAAAAAACCCTAATTTTTCTTTACCAACCGAAGATGATGGCCTCTGATAACCTCACCAAACACGCTGAGAAGCAATAAAAAGAGGGAGTTCGGTTTTAGGAGAAAAAAAAGGGAGAGAAAAAATTGAGAGATAGAATTTTTGAAAAAAAAAACATAAGGAAAAAGAAAAGGAGAGAAAAAAGAATACGTTTTCTTCAAAGAATCGGCCGTAAGCTTCATTGGAAGCTCAACGTTGAAGGTAATCGTTTACCTTAAGGATGGGAGTTTAAAACTTAGGTTTGGGGTGGGGGTCGGTTTGTTTGGTTTTTGTTGATTTGGGTCTTGATTTTTGAGTTAGGGGCTATCAGGTTTAAATATTGGTGTTTAGAGTATCGGCGGCCCCTCATCGGGCCCGTGTATGGTTGTGGCCACGATAGTTTGTGGCCACCGATGATTAAAAACAAAAATGAAGGAAAAAAACGAGAGAGAAGAAGAGAAGAGAATGACTGAGTGAGGATGAAATAAGGGTTAGGTAAAAAAAATTATAATGT